GAGCCTCGTTCTTGCAAAAGAAAAATAGAAAGCAAAGCACATCTTAATGTGAATGAGCTCTTCCCACCCCTGGGGAGCACCGTTTCATGAACACTCTGGCAGTTGTGGTTGTAGAGCTGCCAGGGGAGTGCTGCACAGCAGAGAGAAGCTGTTAAAATGTACACAAATATGCTTCCCAGTCTGGTTGTTTATCTTGTATATTTTAAATACTAAGATTACCATTCCAGGATTAGCAGAATCCGTTAGATCTCAAAAGCGCAGCTGCAAAGTCAGCTGAACTCCCCACTGCTGGAAGGGGTGAGGGATGCAGAACATATGAACTGTCCATCAGGAAAAAATCATGCTTTGATTTACAGGAAGCAGCTGCTTAGCTCATATTCAGGGATGTCATGAATCCTGTTTGGATATATAGATAAAGGTGTGGAAGGTCAAGGCAGGAACTTAACGCCCTCAAACAACTCAGCTTCAAAGCTCGATTTATTTACTTATCATATTATGTGGTTTAAAGCCAAATGTACAAAAATGAGCGTTGTTTCTCAGCTTTACTCCACGGACCCTCATTCTCTTTCCTTTCCCCTTCTGCTGCACTCACCAGTCAATAGTATGAGACCATGTACTCATCTACATCAGTAATTAGGCTTTAATACCTGATCTCAAGGCACCATGGGAATTGCAAATTGCCTTGGAGTGGATGGGATGATACGAGCCCTTCTGTTGTGCATCCTTGTCCATCTTAGAATACTAACTTAGAACTTTTTGCCTCAGTTGTGGTATGTGGGAATGGGTGTTGCATGCTTCTAAACATGAAAACACAGTACATGTTTAGAAAGAAATATGCATTATTCATTTAAGGGAATACTAGGGTCTTCCTTGCAACTTTTAGCCACAGATGCACGGTTTCCTGTTTAAAAGGCAGGACTTTTCCCATATTGTGATTTTATTTATTCTTTCTTTCCCCTCCCACTGCCTCCCCTGATGCACCTTCTACAGTTATTAATGGGGTATTCTGTCCTCAGCTGAGGGAAGCAGTGAGGGACAGCAAATTCATTCTGTGGGGGTGAATTATGATTCAGGGTCATATTTCTTGGACTGCTCAGTCTATCTGATGAGCCTGGAAGTCCAGAGACAGAGATTGTTTTCATCCTCTGGAGTAGATTTTCAGTGTTTAAAGGGAAGTAGTGACTTTATCAGGTGTTTCCTATTGGGTTTGTGGTGGAGGTGAAAGAAGTGTGATCTAGGGTTGACTTTTGCCTGGTCATTATTTGTGCCTGACTGATATGGAGCTACCTTTCTTTGCTTGACTTTAGCCGTGCTGAGCCTTAACAGACAAATGGGGCTTCTTACTTCTAACAACATGGGGGGGGGGGAAGAGGGGAGGGGTAGTGAAACTTTTGTCTCTGCAACAACATTGCTCCTGTTAACTTACATGGAGTTAGTTTTAAGAGGACAGTAGTCTGAGGTGGGCAAATTGCATTCACAGAGGTCATCTGGGACAGTACCGTAATGAAAATGTAAGTGGCTTAAGCCCTTAATGCCTTAGAGATAAGGAGATCTGTGTGTCCAGCTGTATGTGAAGCTGAACCCTTGATAGTAGGTGCATATGCAAAAAGAAAGAAAGGACTGGATTAAAAAAAACAAAATGGGAGAAGGGTTTTGTGTCTTCAGCGGCATCTCTGATCAGTGCCACCTTGCAGGGATCCTTGATAAACAACCCTAACAATTAGACAAAAGAAAGGTAAACAGCATGTAAATGATGTTCACCAGGGGATTAAATAGAAGACACTGGAAACAGGAAAATAGTAGAAGAATGATACAGCAGAATTGACAATATTAGAATGAAAGGCAGATTCAGCCTAACAAATACAAGTAAAACTAACCCAAAGGTGGTAACACCTGGAAATCTGGGCTTGGAAAATAATCCGTGTGTGGTTGAAAGCAACAGTGATGCCAAAAAGCACTGAAGGCAGTGACTTGTCATTTGGTAGGGTAGCAAATAAAACACATGTTTGTTGACTTTGAGGCTTAGCTGAGTAGCAGAGTGAGGAGAAGCTGCATGGTATACAATCACAGCATCAGCCATTTCGGTCTGTGATGTGTGTGATGATTCTTATGCAAGGATAGTGGACTTAGGAGTGAAGGCAAATGATCACTGTTTGAGTTGAAAACAGAACTTTTTCTGTATTTCAGTTATTTGTTTAGCATTTAAATGTGTTTTTTCTCACCTGCTGTATCATTCCTTTTACACTCCCATTTTAATCTTGCTTAATAGTGTGTTTAAAGGGTTACCTTCTGAAAATTCAGTTTTAATGCAGTTACAGTGTATTTCACGTTAATGACTAAATGCCTGTTTGGTGAAGGCTCTGAAAATTATTTGCCTTTTTTCATTTGACTACTAAAAAGATGAAGACTTTCTTTTAAAGTCAGTGAGAGGATCACGATAGAGCATAAAGCTTCATCTTGCACTCTATAACAATGAAAGGGCTGCAAGGAATGTGTAACTTCATTTTATTTTCTTCACTAGATGTTAGGTCTCCTTTGGAACCATTTCCTTATTATGGTCTATCATGTAAACATTGTTTGGGATGTAACTCTATTTATTTTGACAGCTGTTATGATTGTTATTAATATGCACTTTAAAGCTGAGAGATCTCCTGTCTGTTTCGTCAGTCTGTTCTTTGGTGATGTTAGCATGATTGCTCATACAGCTTTAAAAGAAAACTCCTCTACTCAAGAGCATTAATCAGTATTAGCTCCATAGAATCTTTTGATGTCCACTGGTTTTGATAATTGCCTATTAAAGAGTTTGTTGCATCAGCATCATGGAAAGCACATGCAAACGAAGAGCGTTGTTTTGGGTGGATATGCCAGGTCCTTTAATTAGAGCTTTGCCCTCAAAATGAGCTGAGTAACCAATGTAATTAGAAAGGGTAATGTATCTTAAGGCCAAAGTAGGTGAAGGAGGAGTGTCTCTGCCTGAGGAGTAGGTGGTACTGGACTTGTATATCCCAAACATCATAATCAGTTTCATAGCCGGACAGCATCCGGCTTTCTTTATTTGCAGGCTTTATAGTTTCCATCATAAAGTCTTTGAACTGTAACAGGCCTTACAGTGATGTGTAAGGTTAATGTGTTTTCCCTGAGCAAACATAATAGTGGTGCTTTAAGCACACTGCTTTAATAAGTAGATGTGGGAGTATGAGGCTTTGTCTCTGTTAATGTGAAGTGAGTGACACAATAGGATTGGATCTGGAAGATGAAATATATAATGGTCCTAACATCTAGGCTATATTTGCTGCAAGGGGTATTTCTTTGGGTTAGCTGTAGTCTAATCCTATGGACTTTAATGCCAGTTAGATGTTGGAGCATGTTGGGAGCACTCCAGAAACATATCTTCTGGTTTCTAACTGAAATGTTTCCAGGTTGTCTGCTTTAAAGACCTTTCTGAAACAAACTGCAGTGACAACAGACAGTTAGGACAGTTTAGAGATGGGCTTCAAAATGGTACTCAGTGGTAAGCAGACACCTTAATATAGCAAACCAAGTTAGATGGTACTGCTTCCCACTGCTCTGCTTTGTGGTAGAATGTAAAAAGAAGAATAAAGGGTCAGATAAATCAAATTGCTATTTCTGTGGGAGAGTCCTTTAAAATTTCAGTAGCTGTGTGGTACACTTTTATTAGTAGGCCATAATGTATCTTTCATCATCACTCAGAAATAACCAAGGCTGTTAAAGCATAGCAGTGATATTTCCACAGTCTTGACAGTAGTTAACCTGTTTCCTGTAGCTACCAGGCAGTGGTTTTGGCACCGTTTATAGTCTGCAGTTGTCCTGCTGTCTGTTTGTACCTGTCTTTTAAGCTACTCTCCAGCTGCTGTTGGAGACATTTTAAATGCTGTGAGTGTGTTTATGTCAGGATGCTGTGAAAATGCCTTATGTAAGCGTCTGGGTTGGAGGCTGCTGCCCACTCTTTAGAGATGAAGCAGGCAGAAAGAAGACTGCATCAGAGCACCTACTGCTTTGACTTCTTCAGAGAGAGCTTGTTTCTCTCCACTGACTGTGTAGGCGACCTCCAGATGTGGGGCACCTAAGGCAGAGTGACTCTCTGAGACAGTCTTTTTGGTTTGTGCTTGTATAGTGTCTACCGTGATGCCAGCCTACTATATCCTATCGCTATGGAAAAAACAAAGTAGTAGTTGTAGCTCATGCTGCTCAAGAGCCTGGAAAGCTGAAAAGAGTAGTGGAGGGATGACAGTCTTGTTGCAAAAGCTGAGCCTTGCTTGGCATTGTTCACAGGAGGTTTTTGGCTCCAACACACCAGTCTTTTGGTCTGGGATTTGGCTGTGCTGAAGAGCCACAGCAAAACCAATGGGTGTAATCATAACTCCTGACCAAAATGTTGTGTGTAATAGTAATGAGTCACAGGAGGGTGTGTGGTTCTAGTCATGAGTTGTCTTGTTTAAATGTAAATACTCTCTACTTGAGTAAGGTGTATGAATATGACACCTCCAGATATGTCTATGAAACGGCACATTTGAAGTGGCCTCTCCCTTCTTCCATACTCAGACAGGAACGTGACAGTGGTAGTTTGGGTATTTTTCAGTAGTCTGTTTTCCCCTAAATCCCCCAGCCCATGAGTTAACCTAGATGGAGCCGAAGGGTAAGCATAGCTAAAGCTCCTGCAGGAAAACTGCAGATACCTGTATCCTCACTTTGCCATTGCAGATTTGTGTTTGCCATCAAAGTGCATGTTGTCTCTCCTTGTCCACACGACTCCTCACATGTGCATGGCGGTTTGAAGAAAGTAGAACTGGTGTATTGATTAAGAATAGAAAAGTAGTACCATATGTAAATGTGTTTCCCCTGACTTCCTGTTTGGACTGACTTAGAAATCCTGGTCATAAGGCAGTTAATAGGCCTTCCAAGTATTGTGGTTTATGTACCCAACCATTCTTTGGTCTCTTGCTCTACCTAAAAATAAAGTCTGTGATTCTGATTGCTAGAACCCCTCTGATCGCTGCTGGAGTTATTGGTGGCCTCTTCATCATCGTCATTCTGGGCCTGACGTTTGCTGTGTACGTTCGGCGCAAAAGCATTAAGAAGAAGAGAGCACTGCGAAGATTCCTGGAGACTGAGGTGAGGCTGCATTTGAAAATATAGGTAGAGCTGTTCTGCTTTTCTATTCAAGATGCTCAGTTCTTCACCTCTGTAGGAAAACCTTTTGCTAACCTCTGCAGGACTAAACTGATGGGATGAATGGAGCTATTTGAAGATGGTAGTTTTTGGTACATGGTATCTGAAGACCAAAAAAAGATCCACGTAATCACAAAGGCATGTTCCACCAGATTTCTGAATTCCCATCCTTCTCTGAACTGGTTTCAGTTGATGATTGGTCAGATGAACCTGGCTCTTCAGTAGAATTAGCAGCTGCTTTTCCAAGAGTCCTGCTCACACTCATCTCCACCGTAGAGCCTGGAAACATCCTCAGTCTGTTTGTCTGAGTATCTTTATACCTAGGTAGAATTTGTATTGCTTGCTAAATACTGTTCATCTGTATAGAAAGCTCAATAGTGCCTTGCCAGTGGACTAGCCCCTTCTTAAGCATAAATTATTTTAAGCATTCGGGAAGTATTTGCTTTGAAGTCCAGCTCTCAGTCTCCATTTGGTCGGATAAAAGCTGCAGCTGGCAGTAGTTCTGAGGGACCAAGGCCTTCTACTGAATATGTGGGAAAGTTGTTGTTTTGGTTTAGAAAATGAAGATTACATCAGGAGAATCCAGAGACAAACACACAAGCAACTATAACTTCAGCTAAAGTTTCTGTTTCTAGCTGGAGGCTGTACCAGACCTATTCTTTCATGGATCATTCTCCATAAAACTCTACAAACTGTGGATCATTCTCTATAAAACTCTACAAGCACTTTTTTAGACCCCCACAACGCTTCTCCTTGCCATACCTGTGTTGGTGGACAGTGGCACAGAAATTGTTTTCACCCTTCACAAACTGAAAATACAGACATGTGCTGCCAGTCTGCCTACTTTGTTTTACAGTAAACCTTTCTTTCATGGTGTAAATACTGGACATCTAAAGTAGGAAGGAGGAAAGAGAAATGACTCTAAAAAAAGCCCAGCACACATTATTTCAGTGATAACCTGACTTGCTGCTCTTTGGTTTTGTTGTTTTCTTACCCTGATAATTTCCAGATACTGGTATTTTTAAACACAACTAATTAGTCTGGTCAGCTAATTCAGTAGTTCATGATGCTCTGCCATAGGAGTAGTTCTCAAACTGCAGAGGATGGTGCATTTAGCCTTGGAAACAGACAACTTTGAAATGCTGCGGGGGTTTCAAACCAATTCAAGTAGGAGTAACCCTGAATTCGTTTCCTTCTCCTGTAAAGGAAGAGGCTATTTCTCCTTATTTAGACACTTGTCCTGTCCATGTGTATTTGATTTCTTTCTAAAGAAGCACTGTTTTTCTGGCAGAGACAGTATAACGTTGAGATGTGAGAACACTTTTAACTGACTGTGCCATTGTGGTTCATTTGAAAAGTTTCTTGGGGCATCTTGAGCAAATTGGTTAATTGTGCCTTTTTCCTTTAGCAAATTAGTGGCTGTTACAAATTAATGGTCTGCTATAAGAGGTTTCTTTTCCTTACAGCTCTCCTCGTGTGTGGTGTAACAGAAGTTCCCTTCCCCAAAACAGAATAGGAACATGATGAGCCATTAAGTCAGGTCTATTAAAAAGAAATATGGCCAAGTTAAAAGACAATAAAATGGGCAAAAATAGAATGTGGTGCCCTGATAATAAATGCTGTATTTCTGTCATGTAGAAAATATTTATACTGCCTCCATTAGCAGGAGTCCTTGGGTGTGTTGTTGTGATACCAATTCAATTTCCAGTTCATAATCCCATCATGCAATTTCTGATGGAAATTGTTGCATGTTGAGTGAGAATTTTCTTTACCACATCTCATGGTTTTGTAGATGAGAAATCCCTCTTCAAGCTGGCAGATCAGTGGTCGATAGACCCCACCACTGTCTTAGTCCAGTACTTAGTTGGATTGGTTGTTTTCAGTATAAACTTCTGATGGGTTTTGAAATATTTAAGACTGTTGGATTTTCCTTCATAGCTTGTGGAACCCTTGACTCCAAGTGGCACAGCACCTAACCAAGCACAGCTTCGTATCCTGAAGGAAACTGAGCTTAAACGAGTCAAGGTTCTTGGCTCTGGAGCCTTTGGAACTGTCTACAAGGTAAGAGTGTTCATTATACAGCAGTGAGTCCCATTAGCCATTAGCTAAACTGTAATACATTTTGTTTCTTCCATTTAAGTAGAGCAGATGAGTTAGGTCAGTGCAGGAACCTCCTGTTCCTGCGTGAGAGTATGACCTGTAATAATCAGTTTTGAGACTTTACTGATGGATTCCGAGAGTTTAGCATCAGAATCCAGATAGAAAGTCCAGATATTTAATTTCATCAGAATCAGTAGTCAGTGGAAAAAGTATGTGCATCATTCATGTGCTGACATTACTCTCTAAGAATGTAGAAAAGAAAATCAGGGGGGCCTGATGAGGACGTTCACAAGATCTTTCCTTTTACATAAGGGTATACTTTTGCTGTAAGAAGTTGTTTTGTGGGATATATTATTTTGGAGCTTTGTGTGCTCTTATTTCTGAGGTTCAGATCTCATCTGCATAATGTGACAATGCATCAAAAGGAACTGTAATTCTGAATGCAGTTTTTATGATTGTTGTTTTAATAGTCTTCTGTCATCTTTTTTTTTTTTTTTTCTTTCTAGGGTATTTGGGTCCCTGAGGGAGAAACTGTAAAGATTCCTGTGGCTATTAAAATCCTTAATGAGACCACTGGTCCAAAAGCCAATGTGGAGTTTATGGATGTAAGTAAGAAATGATCAGTGTCTTTGAGTGTTGCCTGTGGGGCGAGGAGCTGTCTTTCTGTATTCCACAGAGATTGTAAGGAGGAATTTCGGCCTGTTTTCTTTCCTCATTTAAATAGTAGAGGTAGGCTTGTACAGAGGACCAATATTGTGCTGATGTTCAATAAGTGCTACAATATCATGTCCCTGCAAAAACTCAGCTGTGGAGATTTTTTATGTATTTCCCTCCTTCTCTTAGTCTTTGAGAAGCTGTCTCAGTATTAAAGCATATCCATATCATTCTCTAGTGCAGCAAATTCAAACAAACAAACAAAACCAACCAACCAAGGTTACACCTCAGCTGCAGGTAGGTCAGTGCTGCTTTTCTGAAGCTGTAAGAGCTCACCATATAGGTAATTTCTTTCTGGAACCCTGGGCTACCAGGGTAAAGTCAGTGCCATGGTAATGAAGGTCTGGGTTTTTTTATTATGCAGATGTGATGGACCTTAAGATGCCTGGGGTTTTCTTCCTAATAGTTGTTCCATCAGTGGAAGGCTGGAACTTCTCTGACTCATGCTAGATATTTTATTTTCCATGGCAGAGAAGCTGGAGAAAAATGAGAGGAGGAGTTGTAAGGGAGCATCTTACCATGTGTGCGAGTCTTCACTGGTACAGAACTCACAGAAATAGAAATTAACCTCAGCTTTCTTCTGCTTCAGTGTTCCTGAGAACTAAGCACTGAGTCTGGAGCTGTCAGCAGCAGCAAAGCTATCAGTGAGGAGAATGCTGGATTTTAAAGGCCGTTTGCTTTACTAATCTGAAATATTATTAATAGGAGGTCAAGATCATCATTTTCCTGAATGTTCTATGTTCACACAGTTTTTTAGCTCAGTGTCAAGGTCAGGCCTCACTGACACTGTGAATGTGCATGCCCCATTCAGTGACATTTTTTGACAAATCATGGACATTTGTACTTTTTAGTAAATCCCTCTTGTGAGCTTGTAAATTGCATAGGATTTGTAAGTCTTGAAGATGTGTTCAGTGTATAGGCTTAATTTGGTTAGCATTAATGAGTGTAAACCACAAGGAGAATGCACTCCTGTTATAGTCTATTTTTCCATCTAGAAATGGATAGAAATGAACAGTTGTGGATTAGGTATTTCAGACAAATTACCACATGTGAGTTCTTAAGCAATTGAACAAAGGCTGTACAGAGGGAGGGATTTCCTTTGCTTTTCTACAGAGTACTGCACATTTATGTTGATGGCCTTAAATAATCATTGTGCACAAATTTCACAAAAAGAAGGCATTTTGGCCTTCTCCAAAAGGAATGAATTGCACTAAAGGGATAAAGAGTATTAGATGTTTGCTTAATGGAAAAAATAATGGTCAAGAGTATTGTTAATGACAGAGCTGCAGAAAGAGGAGAGCTGTTATTCAGCATGTTTTGAAGTGGATATGCAGAGAGTGCAAGGCTGCTGGAGGATCCCACCAGCTGAGGATCTGACCCCTGAGCTGATAGCAAAACAATAGTAATATCTCCTCCTCTGGTATTGATTAACCTTGAAGCACTCTACAAAGAACATGTAAGATCCTTGGTCAGAATCAAATTTACTTGTGTGAAGTTTCATAGCTCAGCTTGATCAGCTGACAGAGTTCACTGGACCACATTTCCCCCTGGTGTACGCATCATAAGAGCTGATAAATGGCTCAGAAATTAGGAAGGTTTTATGGACACTCGGGGGAGTTCAGCTATGTAAGGTACACCCACACTAGGAATGGTTTCTCTTTAAATTAACAGTTTCTCATTAGGCTCTGACCTTGTTGTAACAAGGTGAGAGAAGTTAAAGTTATTTCTTTGTCCTTAGAGGTTAATAATAACCTGAAGAATTGGATTTCATCATTAGTTGGTAATGACAATAGGAGAAATAAGATGCTTTGCATCATGCTGCATTTGATATAGGCACAGTGGTCTGTAACATCCTCTGCTAAGATGATTTAATTTCATTCTTTTGAAATAGCTGCTCAGACAATCATTCATACATTCCTGCCATCCTCACCTCCTAAGCTAGGCAGTTATTCCCTGAAGCAGCCCACCTTGTTTTAAAGAGAATGATCAATGGTTTTAATGTGACTGCTCCTCTCTGTTCCAGAAAGAGCATTATGAGGAAAATTTAAGCGTACATGTGAAAGCAAAATGCATCTGTTGTGATTCCAGTAAAAGAGTGTTATGAATAGTTGCTGTTGGTTAAAAACAGCTGTATCAGATTTTTTACAGGTATTGAGGTGGTCAAGTGCCATTGTGAACATGGTAGGGGTTAATTCTTATGTAAGTGTCTGACATGTTGGTTGTGAATACGAAGAGGAGGTTAGAGGAAAGCTGGGGTCATTTACGAGTCACACCTTGACTTCCGTATTTTGGACTTGCCAAGTACAGGTGTATTTTGTCAACAGTTACTTCTTACTCAATTGTGTATGTCCTTGTACTTGCAAGTAAAACTTAGCAGTACTTTTAGAGAGGCTCTGGAAAATGCAAAGCCTCCTGTAGCCGGTGGTTTGTGTACAGAGAGAGTACTTGGAACACTTCAGCGTCTACAGAAAGAGCTGATACAGATGTTAGTGGCATTGTCCATAGGCTCTGGTTAGAACTTCTAATGTTGACAGAATGTAAGTCTAAAAGTACTTTGTGAGCTCCTGAAATTCTTCTAAATGTTACGCGAGAAGAGTAAAGAACAACAGTTTGACTACTGGGCTGTCATTTCAGCATCTTGAACACCTGCTACTGGATCTGTAATGACTATAATGATATAATGCATGATGTTAGCACCTGCTATGGCCAAACACCTCCCACCCTCCTTCCATCAGGGGATGGTGAATTGACCATCATCAAAAAGTACTATTTCACTGTTCGGAATTTTGACTTGGGGAGTTGCAGCAATCTTGTTTACCCAGCTTTCTCCACACATTCCCAGCTAGTTCTTTTACACTGTTCCCTGCTTTCAGTTTTTGTCACTGCAGTAGTCTGTGTCCGTTACAACAATGCAGTCTGAAGTGTACCAAGTAACCCATGCTGACAGAAGCAGAAAGTACATGTGGGAATGGCTGAGGGACCGGGGGGAGGGGAGGGGTGGGTTAGTCTGGAGAAGAGAAGGCTCAGGGGGGACCTTATCACTCTCTACAGCTGCCTGACAGGAGGTTGTAGTGAGGTGGGGTCAGTCTCTTCTCCCAGATAACAAGGGATGGGACAAGAGGAAACGGCCTCAAGCTGCACCAGGGCAGGTTTAGATGAAGCTGAGGAACAATTCCTTCCCCACAGGGTGCTCAGGCATTGGAACAGGCTGCCCAGGGCAGCGCTGGAGTCACCGTCTCTGCAAGTGTTCACACACCGTGGAGCCGAGGTCTCAGTGCCATGGGTTAGTGGTGGCCTTGGCAGTGCTGGGGAATGGTTGGACTGGATGAGCTTAAAGGGCTTTTCCAACCTGCTTGATTCCATGATTCTGTGACTTCTGTGGGTTTGTTTTCACCATGCAAATGTTATTGCTACTGTGTGTAAAATATAGGTTTGGTTTTTTTGCACATATGTCTGAATATATATTATTTCTGTAATAATTTCACAGTCTAAAGAATTTCCCATTGGGTGTTGAAATGGATAGGTGCTTAAGTTGTGGAGCATAGTTTTTCCTCCTTTGCTGGTCACACTTCATCATCCCCAGGGAGGTGCTGAAATTGAATTGAGGGTGCAGTTGTTCTTGCTAGTGTGGGAGGGGACTAGGCAGTGGCCACGGGGTGTCAGGAGAGAAGGGTGTTCTGGTCCTCACATTAGGGCTGGTAGCAGAATATATGAGGGTGCTGAGTTTTAGGGAGAGAAGAGGCTTTTTGTGGGGAAAGAAGGCAAATATGCAGCCAAGAGGATACTTGATAGTAAAACAGGGGCTTACAATTTCACTTGTGAAAACAGTTTCCCTTCCTGAGCCTCAAATTGTGTGGCTGTTATGATTGTCTAACAAGTCAAGTAGCCATTGACCTGATGGGATGGTTTAACATCACACCAGATGCTTGACTGATAATGTAACACATTCTAAAGTCACACTGCAGTTGGAAAGCATAACAAACCATTTTTGAGGCTGAAAAAAAACCCAGTTAAACTAACTTGTCATGGGGAAACAGACAATTGATGAGGGCCTTTCCTCTGTAGCCCTCTAAATTCAGATGTTTCCAAGAAGTAATCCTGTGAGCTGTGAATCTGTCCAGGGTTTTGATCCACTTGCAAGTTTAATCTATCCTCTCTGAACTTAAATGCTCCATTATCTGTTAGAAAATAATTAGAGGCTGCAAGCACAAGTCAGCATACACAGAGTTCCTTGGGAGTCCCTGAGCTCATTGAGATGAAGACAGCTTGACTGATGGTGGTCAGCTGATACTGGGCCAGAAGCTAATAATAGAAGGCAGTGCTGCTTAGCTAGGTGAGAAAGTTAACTTGGGAAAAATTAAACTGAAGGGTTTGGGATTTATGGTTGGAAATAAATTTCCCATTCTCATTTGTTTCCTAGTAAGAGAGCTTCCGAGGCAGTTGGTTTCTTTTATGGTTTTATAATTAAGATCTAGGGGGTTTCTTGACTTTGCCTGGACTTACTGTAGTCCCCCGCTGTCTCTAGAAGCAGTGTTCACTGTGCAGGAGAGCATTTGTTAAGTGAAGTGCAAAGGAAGTAAGTGACAATGACCTCCACCAGGTGTGCAGCAAACAGATTAAAGCTGCATATAAGGGAATGATACCCTCATCTTTTTTTTTATGTCTGCCTAATTGACTGAATTAATAGAGCAGTCGGATGTCTTGACCTGCAAAAAGAAACAGCTTTTCCTAAACTGCAAGTCTGTCTTACAGTAAAGCCAAGTCCTCAAGACCATTTGGCGTTAGACGTAAGAAGGTTCTAAGCTGAAGCTTTTGCTTTCTCTGGCACCTGATGGCTTTCACAGAGCCCTGGGGAGCTCCCTGTGGACACCGTGATGTAGTTTCTCAGTTG